CCCCCCTATGCCAGAGGCCTCTCCTTTCGTTGTCCCTTCTCACCTCCCCCCCTTCGCTCGTCGCCGGCATGCAGGAAGCACCCGGGGGCACCAGGAGCAAGGCCTCCCTCCCTCCTCCCTCCTCCCTCCCTCCTCCCTCCCTCCTCCCTCCCTCCTCCCTCCCTCCTCCCTCGAACCCCAAGTGCAGGTCCTCTGCGAGGAGGTGAGGCTGTCGGAGAGCAACTGCGCCGACGCCAGGCGCCGCGACCGGCCTGCGGCGGCCCATCGGGGGCCATTGGCGGCCTTTGAGAGGCGGCCTGCGGCGGCCCTCGACGACGGCCATCGACGGCCGTGCCGCCTGAGATGGTCTGCTGTGCCGCTGCCTGGCAAGCGTGGGAAACAGTCGAAACAGAAACCACACACGCACACAAACACACACACAGCCATACACACACAGACACACACACACACATACACACATACACACAAACACACACACACAGCCACACACACACACACGCACTCATAGATAGACTTTCGACGGTCCGCGCGGATTTCTTGGATCTGCGCTGGGCCCCCTTTGGCGGCGCCGCCTTAGTTGCGCTCCGCGCGCCAGGTGTCCCTCGCAGATCCAAGACGTCCTCGCGGACCGACCGCCGAGAGTTTACGCTTATGTCTTTGTTCTTACTGACAGCAGGCTCCCGGACGACAGCGCGGCACCTCTCCGAACGTTCTTCAATAAGAGTAACGGCTCCTTCACGAGTGCGACAGTCTGCACGCACCTGGGGCAATGGCCCACGTCACTCAGCTCCCGTGTGCGCCGTTTCACGTCGTGCGCAGTGAAGGCATGGGCTGCAAACTGCTGCCAGAAGGCGCACATGCGGGAACATTCCTGGCAAGCGGAAGCCTAATCGGGACCATGGAGCTGCGCATCTCTGGGAGACCCAGAGAGTCAGACACTCGAGGAGATCGAGACGTTGGCTATTCCGCGTCTTCGGCCTCTGGATGCGATTTTCGGACCCTGTGGCAGTCAACATCGGCTCGGGATGGTAGAGCCGGCCCTCGGGAAGGGGTCGAGAGGCGCGGGGCCCCGAGACTCGAAGATGTCCACCATCACCCTTCTCGAGGCCAGGAACCGAACATACGGATGAAGGCGCGTGCCGTCGCCAGCTGAGACGGCACTGGCACCACGCTTCGGGGTGGAGCTTCACCGAACCGTGGATTAGCAGCGCCAGATCCACGCTGGTCCTCCTCCTCCTCCTCGTCCTCCTCCTCCTCCTACTCCTTCTCCTCCTCCTTCTCCTCCTCCTCCTCCTCCTCCTCCTCCTTCTCCCACGCCCTCTTCATCCTCCTCCTTCTCCTCCTCCCTCCCCCCCCTCCTCCCCCTCCTCCTCCACCCCCTCCTCCTCCTCCTCCTCCTCCTCCTCCTCCTCCTCCTCCTCCTCCTCCTCCTCCTCCTCTCCTCCTCCTCCCCTCCTCCCCTCCCCTCTCCCTCCTACTCCTCCTCCTACTCCTCCTCTCCTCCCCCCCCTCCCCCTCCTCCTCCTCCTCCTCCTCCCCCTCCTCCTCCTCCCCCGATCCCTATAGCCCGTGCGACCGCCCGCCCGCCCAGAGCCCCCCCCCCGTGGGCCCTCGTCGTTTCGCCCGGGGCCTGGAGGCCCCGGCGCCGGCCTGCACGGCTTCCCCCCCCGGGGAGCGGCTCGCCATCTCGAGCCGCTCTGCTGCGGGCCCCGGGGGCCTGGCAAGGGACCCCTCCGGGAGGCGGCCCGCGAAAGGGCCTCGCCTTCGAGCATCGAAGCCTGGCATCGCTCGGAGGTGTGCATTTTTTTTCTCGTTGGGGACCATCCAGGGCCATCCTGGACCATCGATCAAACAAAAACACGCACGAAGCCGAACAAATGCACGGGAAGTGGACGTCCGAGCGACGGCAAGCGAAGGCGTTGTCACCTCCTCCGCGGCGGCAGGGCGGCGGCAGGTCGGCGGAAGCAGGACGGGGCGCGCGCCTCCGCCGGCGGAAATTGGCGGAATGCCGGCGGAAGGCCCAAAGGAGGTCCAGCGACAACAGGGTGGTGCAATAGATTTGGTGCAATAGATTTTGTGTGGGTTTGCAATACATCTGGGGCGTGCAATACGTTCCAGGGCGCAAATGTATTGCTGGGTGTTCGCGTGTAACACATTACTCTCTTGCAATACATTTGCAATACACTTACCCCAACTCTATTACATCACCCCCTTTCAGCTGGAATCCCCTTTGAACACGTTTTTGGGTTCCGGGCTTCCCCGCATCGCCAGTGCAGTCACCCTCTGCCTAGCCGCCGACGCAAAAAGTGGGTTCTGGGTTTTCCGGAATCCGCCAAGTGTTGGCAAGGATCTCCCGTGGTGGTGTTTCGCCCTGGGGAGTTGGGCGGGGTCTTGGGCGGCCCCGGACGGACCTCCCCTGCAGGGGTGCGCGTGCCGTCCAGCAAGGCTGGGGCGGCTCCAGCCCGTGGCGAAGCTCCCCGGTCCCCCTCGCCCTCCCCTCGCTCCCCCGCGCTCCCCCTCGCGCCCCCCCCCCCCCCCCCGCGCTCCCCCTCGCGCCCCCCCCCCCGCCCTCCTCCCTGCCCTCCCCCTCGCCCTCCCCGCGCGCTCCTCCTCGCGCTCCCCCTCGCCTGGTCCCCCCCCCCCCCCCGCCCTCCCCTCCCGCCCCTCTCCTGGCAGGCTCAAGGGCTGCCTGGACTCCTGCAAGGCCGTGGAGGCCATCGTGCTGCAGAAGGGCTGGGCCCGCTCGCGGCTGAGGCAGGCCGTGGCCCGGGAGAGGCGCCTCCCCTGCCCCCCGCCAGATTTTCTTGTGCGCCCGGTGGCCCTCCTCCTCCTCCTCCTCCTCCTCCTCCTCCTCCTCCTCCTCCTCCTCCTCCTCCTCCTCCTCCTCCTCCTCTTCTCTTTTCCGCTCAATAATTTCGGCGTTGACGTCATTGTGTGGCCGATCGCTCGGCTCCTTTTCCGATTCTCTTGTGCGAGCTTGAGACCCGCGAGATCGCTCCCGCTGGAGCTGGCAAGCAGGCTGCAATTGTTACTGTTCCCCGCCTTCGCCCGAAGTGGCTGCCCTTCGCGGGCATGCAGGCCTGACCTGACCTGAGAATGCCACTTCAGACCTCCTCGAGAAGAAGAGAGAAGACCTCGGCGCACGAGAAGGGACGCCCAATCAGAAACGCATAACAACGAGCGAAGGTGCGCTTCTGGCCACAGCGGGCCTAGACCACAAGCAGGCTCCACGGCACAAGCTGCAAGAGCCAGCCAGAAAACGGGAGCCCCTCCTGAGCCCAAAGCGGTTTCGGTGGCAACCCGTGCGAGCCTCCCATACCACCTTGTTGGCCCTCGCGGGTCGACGCTAATCGACGCGACCCGACGCAAGTCGACGCTACACCGACGCTAATCGAAGCTGGTCGACGCCAATCGACGGTATCCATTACCAGACGCTGGCCGACGATAGCGCACTCTGAAACCGGAACTACGAAGGCATGCGAAGCTTAATCGATTTGCTTCCCAAGCTGGACCTTACTTCACCGTCTTGACTGTAGCCTTCCTCGAGAAGGTGGTTGTGAACGGTGGCCTCGCAGTCAATGCGTGCCCAAGGTACTTGAAAGTAGCCCAGAATTGAACGCCAAGATATATTGATTATATGCGTATATAAAAAAAAGCCGTGGTTGGGGCATCTAGCTCTGTTAGGGTGTAACTCCTGCCTTTCCGTTGAGTTCCCCGGGTCCTTCGGAGATGTTTTTTAGGTTTTGGAGGCGGTTGGGCGTTCTCGGCTCCAGCGCGCTCGCCTTCCTCTCCTCTGCCGCCCTCGGTTAGGCCGGGGCGGCTTCGGCTGTGCACCCGCGGGCTGGTGGGGGCCCCGCGCGAGCGAGATGCTTGCGGAATGCGCCTCTGGCGATGGCGCCAGGGCCCGATGCGAGGGCCCGATGTAGACTTCGAGACCGCCTTGCGGGTTAAGCCAAGCGTTGCGGCCCGAAGAATTCCTTCGCCCGCTAAGTGGGGGGGTCATCCTTGCGGGGAATCTGACAAATTTAATCTCCATGCCTTGGAATTTCCATGTGTTTTCGTCTGGATAATTCCATATGGGAATTCTTCACCCGGTCCGGTATCTTTTCTTAGAAACTGTAGTTTCATGCGCTTGCCCTTCGCTGACTCTGGCCCCCAGAAGACTGACCCCCACTAGCAGCTCTAGCAGGCCAATGAACAGTGGCGAGAAGGTTCTTCCGGCAACGGCGGAACCTGGACAGCGCAGGAGGCGAGCAGCTCGGATTTGCCCTGGGCGCGCGCGGCTCTGGCGCAGGTGCTGCAATCGTGCAGGGGACTGGGCGTGCCGCGTGTCCTCTGTCGAAGCCTCGCATACATTACGCAATTGAGCGGATCGCGTGGCAGCAGGTCCACAGGAGCGCTCGGCTACGCTATCGGGTGCCAGTCGCCGGTCTATCGGCGATGGGTCGCCTTGTCCAACCCAGACATGCGACGTCCTGATTTGTTCAATACGGCGTCCCTGGAATTCCCGACCCTTTCCCCGGGACCAGTTTTTCATCCGGAGCCGTTGTTCGACGGTCCCGGGGCCTGGCGAGGGCCCCTCGAGGCCGAAATTGGCCAAACACCTCGCGTCCTGATCCTTTTACGACGCGATCATGTCTGGGATCGCCGGTCCATCGGCGATAAATCGCCTTCTGCAAGGCGACGCTTCTCCCGCTGAGCCAATCCCCTTTTTGGCTCCCCTCTCCCCAGCTCAATTCCGCAGCGTTTTTTTTGTGTTCAAGGCGCGGTCTCAGAAGTCTCGACCCCTTCCCAGGTCCTCCTCCTCCTCTCCTCCTCCTCCTCCTCTCCCTCGAGTAGCTTTTCCTCCCGCGACCACGTTTGATGGTCCCAGGGCCCGATCACGGGCCCCCGAGCCCGACCTCGAGGAAAAACGCCAGGAAGGAACAGGCCATCGGGGCAGCCGCACTGCTGTTACAGTCAAAAGCCCTAATAAGGACGCGCGACTTTGCTCAGGGTAC